AAGGCTTCAGATTCAGATTCTGAAAACTTTGTTGCCTATCAACAGTGTGACAGAAAATCGCCTTCTGATGTGGCTCACATTAAAACACACGATATCCAATAACGCATAGCAGACATAAAAGAACAACAATGTGCAATGTGTTCAAAGTGTCAAATGCAAGTGTGCAGAATCACGTTTCAATTATCGTTGTCATTCATAGATGAGGGTTGTGGGTTTAACATTTATATCAGGCGTATATATGGTAGCTATGCAGTCTGCCCCAGGACAGACCTGGGATGTTCTGACCCATCCTCCCCCTGATCAACCCCAGGACAGACCTGAGAGGTTTTGGGCCAGCTCGTGTCTCTTGTGGGGCAGCGCCAGGTCCCGCAGCATGTCCTCCACCTCCTCCTGGGCCTCGGCCATGCCCCGGCCCTTCAGCAGCGAGTAGAAGAGGATGTGCTCCGCTACTGTCATGCTAACACAGACAGACAAGTATGGGATATATATATATTATTAAAGTGATGGACAACAGGATCTAAAAACATAAAATAACGTAACGTAACGTATCACAGAGGAATGTATCCACGACTACCAAATATTTTGTCAGTAAAATGTCAAAAAGTATATTAATATACATCTCAAATTCTCAGGATTCAAGACTCAGGATTGTAGGGGTGTGGGCTGAATGCAATTGACAAAAAACACTTCCTGGTAGGATACGCTGATGTATCCTCGGACCAAAAGGCGATTCAGCGGATGATTAAGCATCAGATGTGAGAATGGTGGAAAAGCGGAGATCGAGGAAAACATGGAGATTTAGCCAGGAAGTGTGAGGCAAATCAACCTAGCCCCCGTCTTCTCATTGTCTTGATGTCGCTATAAGGACCTACATTAATATCAATATAAATTGATCTACTTATGATACATTTCCAATATGCAAAGGACCCCTATTTACCAGCAGGTCCGCTTGCAGGCGCTCCAACTCGGTGTGAAGTTGTATGTTTTATCTAATTCCCCTAATTTTAAAAAACTCATTATTTGTCAGTGGACACATTGGAAAGTGTACATTATAAGGTTTCTGTCAATATTTGTATCATGCTTGTATGATAAAAACTTGTGAAACTATTAATCTAAATACATGACAAATGTATACTTAGGGTTAACATTGCACCTAGTGAAGACATAGGGGCCATAAAGGTACCTGGTGAAAAAATAGGGGCCCTATAAGACGTAGGATTTTAGGATAGTTTTCATGCTACATTGTGCAAAATCATGTTCATATCAACAGTCAAAGTTCTCAGCGGGGAACGGGAGGCCACATATCTGAAACTCAGAAGGAGCTAAAATTCAGATGAACAGGTTTCTGAAATGTGTTCATCCTTTAAGATTGTTTCTCAAAAAACATCCTTTTATCAGAAGCAATTTTTTCCTATTAAAGACCTTTATAGTAAACCCCAAGTAAGCGGTCTGGCCTCTAGCTATGATCTTACTGCTGGAAAAGGATGTTGTGCTGGGGACACATGCCCAGGGACAAGCGAATGGTGTCCATGTCCGTGTGGATGTCCCTCCCATAGATGGTGGCTGTCCCCGAGGTGGGAGGAAACATGCCAGTTAGGATAGACCTGGGGTCGAGAGAGATAGAGAGAGAGAGAGAGAGAGAGAGAGAGAGAGAGAGAGAGAGAGAGAGAGAGAGAGAGAGAGAGAGAGAGAGAGTCATCTTTTTGTACATAATCAATGGTTGTTTTTGTAACTGCGCAAAACCAGCTTTTGCCGTATTTATGATATCATGTTGTAGTATTTGTATGCATCTTGGTGAGACTAGAATGAAAAAGGCTGTATTTTAGTTGCTCAAGTACTTTTATATCCTTATTAGTTAAACACACTTCTTCTTCATTTAAAATGAGCTGAAATGGTTCTTACAAAGAAGGTCCACAAATATAGTAGGCTACATAGAAAACATGTTCCCATGTTGCCATATGCTATTATAAAAATGGAAGGGACACTATTTCACAAATTAAGTGCCATAATTGAACTGATCTGTCATTGAACAGAGCTTGGCAGAAGGATTTCTCTGTTGGAGCAGAGGTTGTACACTGCCACTTTATTGGTTCATGAAATGTCCATGAACTGACGAGCAAATTCCGGAAACAGAATCGCGAGACAGTCTGCTCCATTGAAAATATGTTGAAAAAGCAACACATCGTGTGACAAACATATCGACAAATCATTCAAATGTACTGCTGAAAAGCAGTTGGTGTATCACACCCAACTGATATACAGTGTTTTGATTTTGCCGGGAGCATTCATTTTATTTGTGTGTCTGGTTGTCAAAACCAAACAAAACATGATGCCTGCTCCCTGCTCAACCAATCAGTGATTAGTTAGCACATAACCCCACAGAGACAGACGATGCGTTGTTAACCTCTGGGAGGATAGCACGTCTTTGCGTATGAGTATATCCGTGACTAGCAAGAGGGGCATGTACGGGTCTCTGCATAGCAATGTGGCTCTTCGCAGAGTTTGTGTGTGTGCATGCCTGTGTGTGTGTGTGTGTGTGTGTGTGTGTGTAGACAGCCTACATGGTGGTGGTTTTCCCAGCACCGTTGTTGCCCAGGAAAGCGGTGATCTGGCTCTCGTAGAAGCTGAGACTCAGGCCATCCACAGCGGGCGGCGACCCCCTGCTGAACCTCTTCACCAGGTCTCGAACACGCACCCCTTCCACCAGATCACCTGGCTCCGCCTCGAAGAAAGACTGGCCTGAAACCAACACGTATAGAGAGGTGCATGAGTTCATCATGCATCTTTTACAACATGGTTAAAAAACAACATTCATTGGTTTGAATTAATGAACATCATGGGGATACTGTGACAAAAAGTGGTTTAAAACAATGTTTACAGTTGAATAATGGCAAGATAAAGGCAAAAAGGTGTAATTTGTAATTTGACACATACATTGGATCCAACCAAGCTTGGATAATTATACATTAAATACAAGTAGCTTGTACCATACATGGTGAAACTTATTCTTTGTATAAAAACAAAAAGGGTGACATAACCAATTTATAGCATAGCAGCATGGTCTGCTATAATAATTAACAGTTGTATCTCTTAAACTGAAAATGATAAAAGCCATACATCTAAAATAGAATTGGTAACCTCTTAAATCCATGATAGTGAACATTTGCCACCAGAGGGCGCTCTTTCCTAACATAAATTGGGTGGCCTTCACACCAGCCCCCTGGACTCTACTGTTCTGCTCTTCAATTCTGTGTGGATAAACATTACCGTGCAAAGTATGATCCCTTTCAATTAATTTGCTTTTCTTCTGCAATAACTTTATTTTATTGTTGCAGTACTGCAGAAAAGTTCAGAAAAGTTATGTTGGCCAGTAAAGCTTTGACTACAGCCATTGATTAAACACATAATTAATTGCATATGTTTCATGGTTTACTTTTTATATTCAATGTTCTACTTATATAGCCACAAATAGTAAATTCCTTTTTCTTTTTGCCCATGAAGGAATTGCTTGGAAGTGTACTTTTCTTATAATTTCTTATTATTGCAAGGCAGGTCACTTTCACCCCAGTACATGACCGACCAACATGCTTATGTCTTCATGTTGAAAATTTAAAACACACTGATACTGTGACAATACAAAACAGGGGCCGGATACAAGTAGTAGAAGTATCTTGAGAACACAAATCTTCGTAACTACTGTATGTTTCTTAAGAAAGTTAAGAAAAACTGCTATTCACCAAAAGATATCTGAAGAATTCATAACTTTCTCCTTAATTTCTTATGAAAAAAACGTATGATTAAATGGGATTCTTGAAAACTAAGATCTTACATTTTTTCTTGATTTTATTCTTAACTTTAAGATAAGAGTTTGCTTGTCTTAAGCTTGTCTTGTCTTGATTTTATAGTTTTAATTGCTTCTATTTACAATGTTTTGTATCCCATTGTAAGGTGTTGCTACTCACTGATTCAAATTTTATATGATATTAATATTATAATAACAGAAAAAGTCTAGGCTACAACATGATATGCTAACTACACCACTTTTTTTATCACTTCTCCGGATTTAACTTATTTCCTCTACTTCAGAAAAGTTTGTAGGAATGAAATAAAACGTCTTAAGGACTAAATGTACGAAGTTCTGCAGAGAATGAACGGCTCTAGTATTTCTTTGGAGGAAATGTCCTTCCTGGTGCTGTAAGATGGGAGCCACAGCTGCGGTTTGACACAGAGCCTGGATATCTGAAAAGAGCTGGGAATGAGATCAGAAGTTTGGAATGCCACTCAGTGTGAAGAGTGTTGAAATGCTCCTGTCACTTATTAACCTACGTAAAGGAAGGAGGGACGTTGCCAGCACATTTGTGTGTGTGTGTGTGTGTGTGTGTGTGTGTGTGTGTGTGTGTGTGTGTGTGTGTGTGTGTGTGTGTGTGTGTGTGTGTGTGTGCACATGCACGCTTATGTGTTCCAACATGCCAGTGAATGCAAATACACCCAAGGGCAGTGAGTTCCCATACAGTCAATGTGATTGGCAGGGGGTAGAAACCAATATTAAACAAATACAAATTCAATACATTTGAACTAGAACCTAATAGTATGAGAATGACGAGTGTGTGTTTTAGTGAGACATAGTCTACTAATTATGTCTAATGTTACAGTGTGACACTGTAGATGATGGTGAATGATTGAATGAGCAGCAATGAGAGGAGAGAGCAGTGTGAAGGAGAGAGCAGAGAAAGAAAGAGAGATAAGAAAAGTAAAGCGAGATAAAGGGGGGGAGAGAGCACGAGAGAGAAATAAAGGGGGGGAGAGAGAGAGAAAGTCTGACATGAACAAAGGAGGGGATTGTTTTTGAAAGTGGAGAGGGGTAATTTGTGAATTGCAACTTAAAACCAGTTACCCGTTTTCTTATTCTTTTTTACCAAATACTATTATGGACGATCTAAGTCCATAATGTTTTCCAGGTACAATCTGTTTGGTAACAAGGTGATTGTGGGCGTACATTGGGCAGGATAGCCTAGTTGGCTAAGAGGGTGTTGGACCCCCAGCCGAAAGGTTCTGGGTTCGAACCCCAACGTCCAAAGCCTACCCGTAGGCATCCTTGAGCAAGATGTCTAACACATACCTCACATAACGCTAATGCCGAGTTCAGACAGGCAGCTTTTTACAACCGACGCTCCGCTAGATACTGTCAGGAGTGGGATCAGTGAACTTGGTGTCACCCAGTTGCCACTTCTCTGTTCCACCGAGGGAAATGGGGAATATCCATGCTCTCCCTGCTATCCCACGCTGCCTGTCTGAACTCTGCTGCACGCCGCCCCAAACACCAAAACCTAACAAACACCAACACACACACCAACATGGGTCCATACCCATTGGTAGTTGTTGGCTGTTGTAGGAATGTCGAATCAGTGTCAGCCAACTTTGGCCAACATTCTAAAGGTCGCTGTTGGCGTTTGTTAGGGAGGTGCCTAAATATTTTTACCGTTGGCTTCCTTTCGCTCTTTCTTCTCCCCAGCCGTCTGGCCCCGTGGCTCCTTGTCTGTCGAGTCCCGTCGGTCCGCGTGCTCACAGGAGCCTGGCTCCACAGGGGCCGACCCAGGCCCCTGAGCCTCCTCTCCGTTCTCTTTGTTGGGGAGGCTGTCGAAGCCCTTCTTCTCCAGAGGACCTGAGGAGCCAGCAGGGAGGGAGACATTACTCTCTCTGGGACTGTCAAAAGGCTATTTAGATAGCAGCTATTTCAAACAAACAAATTAACAAGCAAGCAAACAAACCACAAATAAAACACACATTTAAATTGCTAAAATAAGTAATATGTAATGTAAGCTATAAAGTAACAAAATCACAACAGAGTTAGGGTTAGCCTCATCATAATTACCCGGCATTGGTGTCACAGTATTGAACCAATAAGATGGAAGAACTGGAAAATAAAATGGCCGACCAATTCCATATTGTCCTGTGTAAATATAAGAAAATAACAAAGTAAACAAACAAAACATAAAAATTCATATTTAATTGAGACAAATAAACAATTAGTATATTTTAAACATTGTTGATGATAGAACCTAAGTGCCACATATAGACAGCTTTCTAAAAACACAACCTTTCTATTAGCTGATGTCTGAAGATGAAGGCATATCAGCTACTTCTATTTGTTGATGTACATCATCAAGGCTGTACTACCATTTATGTATTTATTTATCTATGCTATTTTCTGTGTCGTCTTGATAGATTAACTGATATTAAAAAAGTCATTTCCGCCGATCAATCAAATCCCTGATGCGAAACATAATGGCTTGTTTCAGGCAAAAACATTAAGCAAGCAGATTGTGTGTTTCAGAAAAAAACTAGTCACATTCAATCATGGCGGACTGTTAAACATTCTGGTGGAAACCTGTTTCCTTACAAACTACAACCCTCAGGGGGCTTTCAGCCTCAGCCCAGTCCTCCACTGAACCGCACCATGAATGAAGTAGCTCAGTTGTATTTCTGTGTTTTCTTCTCAAAGCTCAATCAAACCCTTCCAACTGTGCCGCTACAATCATTCTACTCCAGTGGAGGAATTCCTCACAACCGCATGAGTCAAATACAAACCAATATCCCCAATAAATCAGAGATATGTGCGTCGTATATATATATCAATAGCTCTGAGTTTCCTTTTGATTTGTTTTTCCATTTAGCTACTCCTAGATGCAAAGAGAAAATCATTTTTACCATTCTGCTACAGTATTGCAGAGGACCTTATATGATAAAACTACAAAAGAATTGCCTGATTTTCAGGCTTTCATGTTTTTAATAGCCTTGCACAGCCATATTTTATTATCCAGTGTTTGGAAGTGTGTTTGGGAATACTTACAATTACCAAAGTAAACACCATTAACAAACGTTACTGCTACCATTTTCATTTAAGGTAGGTAGGTTATATAGTTTACGTAGCTTATGTAGGTTATATAGCTTACTTAGTGTGTGTAGGTTATGCAGGTTATAGAGTTTAGATAGGTTATAGTTCAGGCAGTTGATGTAGGTTATGTAGGTTATACAGTATAGTTCAGGTAGTTGATGTAGGTTATATAGTTTTGGACGTTTATGTAGGTTATATAGTTTACTTAGTTTATGTAGGTTATGCAGGTTACACAGTTTAGTTTAGGTAGTTGATGTAGGTTATATTGTTAAGGTAGTTTTGGTTTGTCTTGATTTGGGATTAGACCCATTGGTCTAATTGGTCTAAATTGAGTTTAATTTAAACCCTGCAATCCCAGAAGACTATACCTTGCTAACTGTCACCTGAGGTTTCAAGTATTTTCCTTTTACAACTTGGTCACCTGCCTATTGTCTGCGTTTGGGTCAGCCAGTCACGCCATTACAGTGATGTAGTTTAGGTAGTCTACGTAGGTTATGCAGTGCGGTGTGTGCTGACCTGGGAAGACGTTGTCCAGGTACCAGGCCAGCACGGCGTACAGCAGCGTGTCCAGGCTCATCATGCCGATGGAGAACAGGAAGGAGAACTCGTCGCCCTCCAGGGGGCTGGTGCCCATGTTGTCCCACTGCAGGCCCAGGCCCTGCTCCTCGTATCGAGACAGGTACTCGGTCCCCAAGCCAAACGCCACCTGGGACAGCAGGCTCTGTGGGGGGGGGGTTAAAATGGGTTTGGGGAGAAGGAAAGAAGAGAACAATGGTGAAAACTAATGCTACCACCAGTACTACTACTAGTAATATGTAGTAGTAGCTGTGTCGCTCAATTGGTAGAGCATTGCATTCACAGTAAGTAAGCGCAATTGGTCTACTAGGTGTGAGGTCCCTCGTAATAGTAGATATCCCGCCTTAATAACATTTACAGATTTTTTTTTTTTAATATCCATGCATTTACAGATTGACCAGAAAACCATTGTTAGCACTTTGACTTTGTACACTGGATGCCAACAACACTAACAAACTAACAAACCTAAATTGAAGCAAATGATAGATTTGGTTGATTTTTTTGTCAGTGACTTTAACATACATTGACTTGCGGACGACTTCCCAGATGGTTCTGTGAAACTAACCATCTGGCGCGTCAGGTTAGTGTTGCACTTCCCTTGTTAAATACTTTGTATACTGTTTTTCAGAAGAAGAAAAACAGAAAAAAACCTAAAACCAAGTGTGGGAGAGAGACCAGACCAGACACCCACCACCATGAACTTCATGTCGCGGGTGACGCGGTCCTGCCAGGCGAAGCAGAGCAGGTGGGGCAGGTAGAGGCCCAGGTGGACCACGCCACTGCACGCCGCCGCCACGTTGGCCTGGCCGAAGAACACGCTGAGGAGGAAGCACTGTGCCAGGGTGGCCGCGGCGAAGCTCAGCAGGAAGAGGAAGACGATGAGGGGGTTGCTATAGTTGAGCACCCTCCCTCCCTGCGGTGTGGGGTGGGGCAGAGGGGTGAGGGGTCGATGGGTGCGGATGTGGGGGGGGGGGGGGGGGGGGGGGGGGTGGATAAGGGACAGAGTTGACACAATTAAATTTTTCGACACAGTATTGAGTTTTCCGACTGAGTGCTGGACTTAAGAAGAGTGAACCAGAGCTGGGATGATATGATTGTCTTGATTGATTATGATTGATCCCGATTTTAAGTAGTAAGTATTGTGATTCTACATGTATTGCGATTCGATATTACGATTTATTATTATTATTATTTATGTATTATTACTGTATATCATGAGGAATATTTCCAAAAACAATGCACATCACATGTCAGTCAATCATTGCTATACTGGGAGGGTTTAAGGGAAGGTTACATGCTATTGTTGATGTAGTGTACATCCTTGTGGAGTGTGTGTGGAGTGTGTGTGGTTGACAGCTGGTTTACAGCCTCACCTGGCCGGAGTCAGACTGATAGACTCTGGGCTGGTTGAGGCTACACACATGTGGTGCAGAGCAAACATGGCACCCAGGATAAACCAGCTATCACCACACACTCAAGGGAGAGCCACTGTCATGGCAGCATGTAACATCTGCTCGGCGAATACCAACTTGCCATCTCCAATAAACGCATTCTTCAACCAACACGGACCTGTTTCCTGTGTCGGAGGGCCCCAGAAAAGTAACTAAGGTGGCATGTGGCAGGAGAAACTGCTACAATACTGTTAAAAAATATATATAATTTTTTTTTTTTTAAGAGCAGCATCCGCTGATACGCTGATCACTACAGTAGCATGTACCGAGACCTATTCCTAACTCTTCAGTCGCAGTCTTTAGCATCAACACAGGGTTGTTCCAACAATTTAAAAGGAAAACCAAATCCCAAGTTTGAGCCAGTCCCTGCCCACTCTCAAATACTAAAACATGCAATCACTAACTTCTTGTACACCCTCTCTTCACTGTCCTGTGCATAAAAGGCATAAAAACAAAATATATACATATTATATATATATACAAAATATAAAATAAAAAGGGTTATCTTATTTGGTATACCTATATAAGACAGAAGGGTGTCCACTAGGGGTCCCCAGAGCACAAAGCCTTGAGAGACGGTCTGGTTATGAGGTTGACCGGTGATCTGCTTTGATGTCATGCATTTACACGCATCTCCCTCATTTATGTTTCCTAATATAAAGCTCACATGACCCCTATCGATATTGTTTTTTGTATTAACCAGAAAGAGCCATAATCACTGACTCTCATCAATTTAATTTAATTTTGTTACTGGCCACCACATGATTTGTAAAATGCATACTAATCAGTTGTGATATAGGACTAAGAATAACGTCTTCCAATGAAGGTCACTATGATGGAGAGAAATTCATACTAGATTTAAAGGACAACCAAAACCTAACACAACTTACTGTAGATGAAAAGTGATGTAGTGGGTTACATAATAGGGCAATGGATTCATCCTGGTTGGGCTAGTCCAAATCTCACCTTAAATGCACAAAATGCAGGATAAGACGTGTATATGCGTTAATTGTTATTGGCCGTGCTGGGTTACCAGTTAACGGCCATCAAACGTTCTGGCTACACCCATTGTAGCGAGTGGAGATAACGAAAGCCGGAACAGCAATCTAGCCCCGCCACTAAATGAAAGAAACTACCAGAAGCGTCGGCCAGAAGGCATT